GGTTTGTGCTTTGATGGAATCTGTTTTCAAAAAAGAGAAACTTTTCAGACATAAAAATAAAATAATGCTGAATCAGATGTCCCGTTTTTATAGGGACGGTCCTGTTTTTTGGGACTTTTTCTTATATAGGCGCTGTACCTATAGGGTTCCGGGAAGTGGGCGGGCAAAGCCCGCCCACTGCTAAAGGATCCCCCCCCCCAGCCTAAGGGGAGGACCCACAGGACCTAAAACCCAAATGATTACGGGGGACAACTAATGCAAAAACAGGGACAGGAGTGCAATTAAAGGGTCAAAAGGAGGGAACCTGACGGGGACACCGAGCAGAGAACCCCGGACAGCGCCCACTGCTCCTCAAAGGTGTCAAGGGAGCCAGTGGACGCCGCCCAGAGGAACTCTGCCCGGATACGTGAACGGACAGAGGATCGGAAACAGGCCCCACAGTCACAGGAACCTCCATCGGCCAACCTCCTCTCCCTGGTTTTATAGATGGCCTGTTTAGCCAGGGCCAAGAGGAAGTTGACCAGGAGGTCCCGCGACTTTGTGGGGCCACGGATAGGGAGTGCATAAATGAGAAGGTGAGGGGAAAAGTGTAACCAAAAACGCAACAGAATGTCGGTGAGGAGCCGGTGTAGGGGCTGCAACCTGGCACACTCTAAGTAAACGTGAGCCAGGGTCTCCCTCACGCCGCAGAAAGGACAGGTGTCAGGGACAGGGGTAAACCGCGCCAAGTACACGCCCGTGCTCACGGCTCCATGAAGGAGCCGCCAACTGACATCCCCGGCGGGCCTCGGGACCAGGGTGGAATAGAGGCTGGCCCACCAGGAAATATAGGCGCTGTACCTATTGGGTTCCGGGAAGTGGGCGGGCGAAGCTCGCCCACTGCTAAAGGATCCTCCCCCCAGCCTAAGGGGAGGACCCACAGGACCTAAAACCCAAATGATTACGGGGGACAACTAATGTAAAAACAGGAACAGGAGTGCGATTAAAGGGTCAAAAGAAGGGAACCTGACGGGGACACCGAGCAGAGAACCCCGGACAGTGCCCACTGCTCCTCAAAGGTGTCAAGGGAGCCAGTGGACGCCGCCCAGAGGAACTCTGCCCGGATACGTGAACGGACAGAGGATCGGAAACAGGCCCCACAGTCACAGGAACCTCCATCGGCCAACCTCCTCTCCCTGGTTTTATAGATGGCCAGTTTAGCCAGGGCCAAGAGGAAGTTGACCAGGAGGTCCCGCGACTTTGTGGGGCCACGGATATGGAGTGCATAAATGAAAAGGTGAGGGGAAAAGTGTAACCAAAAACGCAACAAAATGTCGGTGAGGAGCCGGTGTAGGGGCTGCAACCTGGCACACTCTAAGTAAACGTGAGCCAGGGTCTCCCTCACGCCGCAGAAAGGACAGGTGTCAGGGACAGGGGTAAACCGCGCCAAGTACACGCCCGTGCTCACGGCTCCATGAAGGAGCCGCCAACTGACATCCCCGGCGGGCCTCGGGACCAGGGTGGAATAGAGGCTGGCCCACCAGGAAATATAGGCGCTGTAGTGAGGTGGTTACCCACTCCTGCCCTGAGAGGTTTAAAACAGCCCTGGCAGAGGGCTGGAGCAAATGGAAAAGCTACTGGGCTGATTGGGGAAGTAGCTGCACCTGGGCCACACCCTAATCAGGCCCAGCTGGCCCTATAAAGAGGCTGGGAGCCAGGAGCTCAGCAGTCTCTCTCTGCACTCAGAGAGAGAAGGGTCTGGTTGTAGTGAGCTAGAGACAGAGTACCTGAGTGGAGCAGGGCTGGGGACAGGCTGAGGAGCTGGGGAGCTCCAGCCTGGATAGCCCCAGGCTGTGGCCTAGTAGGAGGCCAAGGGGTACTGGGGGTTGCAGAGGGCAGCCCATGAGTAGGCCAAGGCAGCAGGTCCAAACCCAACCTTGCCTGTGATGAGTGGCCTATACTGCAGTCTGCCCCAGGGAGCAGGGGCTAGTTGGTGACTGGCAGTGGCCTTATTCTGAGGTGAGGTAGGGATAGTGGGTGGGGGTTCCCTGGGGAGGGGAGACCCTAGTACTGAGGGGTGTACTGCCAGGGGGCAGCACCCCAGATACAAGGGCACCGGGGTCTGGGAGGGACACGGGGGGGCCAGAGGACAGGCGGATCACCAGCCTGCAGGGTGTGCTCCAGGATGCTGAAAGAGCTAGTTCCCAGAAGAGACCAGCAGGAGGCGCTGCAGGGGTGAGTCCACCCCTCTACAGGTGCCTATTACCCCCCACCCCTGTCCTGTTTTTTCACAGTTGCTATCTGGTCACCCTAACCATCAGAAACAAAGCCTTAAAGCAAATAAAAGAGTAAAGAGAAAAAAGTAGGTACAATGTTGGTAGTTACTTATGGCATCAGGGTATTTACAACTATTCATGGATATAAATAAATATTGCATTTGGAGGGCCTAACTCAATTTAAAATATTTTCATAATTTAAAATAGAAGCTCCTTGTTAAAGATACCATGATGGTGAGTGTGAGGGGTTGGATCACAGAAACCCCCTTGGGAACTGCCAAGTGATGTGCCAAGACTACTTCTGCCCCTGCTTTCCCTGCCAGCTCGGGACCCCAGCACCCTGTCTTGCTGAGCCAGACACGCCCATCTGCTCCAACATAGACCCAGGGTCTGAATTACTTGCCCCAAAGCTGCAGACTTAACTGAAAGCAGCTTACAGAAGCGTTCTTGTCTTTAACACTCAGATGCCCAACTCCCAATGGGATCTAAACCCAAATAAATCCGTTTTACCCTGTATAAAGCTTATACAAGGTAAACTCATAAATTGTTCGCCCTCTAAAACACTGATAGAGAGAGATGCACAGCTGTTTGCCCCCAGTATTAATACATACTCTGGGTTAATAAGTAAAAAGTGATTTTATTAAATACAGAAAGTAGGATTTAAGTGGTTCCAAGTAGTAACAGACAGAACAAAGTGAATTACCAAGTGAAATAAAATAAAACACACAAATCTAAGCCTAATACAGTAATACAATTGAGTACAGATAAAATCTCACCCTGAGAGATGTTTCAATAAGTTTCTTTCACAGACTGGATGCCTTCTTAGTCTGGGCACAATCCTTTCCCCGGTCCGGCCCTTGTTCCAGCTCAGGTGGTAGCTAGGGGATTCCTCATGATGGCTGCCTCTTGTTCTCTCCCACCCACTTATATCTCTTTTGCATAAGGTGGGAATCCTTTGTCCCTCTCTGGGTTCCCACCCCCACCTTTTCTATGGAAAAGCACCAGGTTAAAGATGGATTCCAGTTCAGGTGACATGATCACATGTCACTGTAAGACTTCATTACCCACTTGCCAGCACACACGTACTGTATACAGGGAGACTTACAAGTAAAACAAAGCCATCTGCAGACAATTGTCCTGGTTAATGGGAGTCATCAAGATTCCAAACCATCATTAATGGCCCACACTTTGCATAATTACATTAGGCCCTCAGAGTTATATTTCATATTTCTAGTTTCAGATACAAGAGTGGTACATTTATACAAATAGGATGATCACACTCAGTAGATTATAAGCTTTGTAAGATACCTTACAAGAGACCTTTTGCATGAAGCATATTCCAGTTATATTAGCATATTTTCATAAAATCATATAGAGTGCAACGTCACAGTGAGTATGGTCTGACAACATATAGATCAGAAAGATAGAAATTAGAAGTCAGAGTGAGTTTACCCTCTCTTTGGAAACTGCTAAATCATGCCTGCCAGAGATATCAGCTACTGGTATTAGAAGTTAACAAATACTTCTAGAGAGCATTTCCCCCACCACCACCACCTTTGGAATGTACCAGACTGCGCCAAGTTTTGAGTATTTTTGAAATCTCTCTCAGGGAAAGATTTCCTTATCTTCTGACTACTTACAACACCATCACCCCGTTCCCTTTTCAAATTACACAAGCTGAACACTGTTCTTTGTCCAAGGGCCCTGCCATCTTTCTCGGTTATAGTTATGAGAAAGGATTTCTTTTAAATGGGAAAACAAATTAATAGATTCCCCAGTTCCTTAACACCATCACTCCCCCAGGTGTTATCAAAAGCTAAGGGGGAAAGATTTGTTAGATATCCCTTAGTGGCAGTACAAGACTGTAAAGATCTGCTGTTCTAGATACTTATTATACTTTATATATGTGATATAATTAACCTAACCTTACTGTGAAAACTGGCAATTCATCTTTGGTAACCTATATAAAAGGGTCTGCTGGAGCCAGAGCCAAAGGTTCTGTCAGATTTCTGCATCAGTGCAGCCAACAAATCTCCAAGTTTTGTGTTAATGTAGAACCAAATTAAGCTAACACTGGAGTAATCAAACAACCTTCATAAGGAGACATAATTGCTCATCATACTTTATCCTAACCATTTTCCAAGGCAAATAATGGTGTGAGCTTTCAAACTACAACTGAAAAAGGTCCATGTACTTTTATGTAAAAAGATAAGAGATTCAGTACATATAACTAGATCAGGAGTTGGCAACGTTCGGTACGCGGCTCGCCAGGGTAAGCACCCTGGCGGGCCGGGCCAGTTTATTTACCTGGCCAGCACATCGCTCACCCGCGCCGCTTCCCGCCGCCCCCATTGGCCCGGGATGGCGAACCGCGGCCAGTGGGGGCCGCAATCGGCCGAACCTGCCGTGTCAGCAGGTAAATAAACTGGCCCGGCCCGCCAGGGTGCTTACCCTGGCGAGCCGTGTGCCGAACGTTGCCGACCCCTGAACTAGATATACTCACTACTATTCATACTACTTATACATTTTCCACATATTTAGTACATCTAGCAGAATGTGTAAAAACACACTACAGATGGGTTATTATTATTAAGTAGTTCCATACCCAAAAGTACATTGTCATGTTTTCATATGCCCAAGTAATGCACATTTCATAACAAAATTAATCAACATATTTCAATGTTGACCATACAATAATTAAGTCATTATGAAAACTTAGTTATATCACTTTTAAAATTGATCGTTATACATTTTCTCTGTTCTCTAAGAAACGGTTACAGAATTAATTCTCTGTGTTCAAACTATTTTGAACCCCACACTTTGTAAGTAGTGTCATTTTGAGTGCAGTAAGAACTGACCCACACTTACTTTCCTTTCTGGGTCAAACAAAACAGACTTGCAAAAGTTCCATATCTTGTTCTATTGACAGGTTAACGTGCCCCCTTACTGTACTGCTGAAGTTGTTGAACATGTCTCAGTAAATGAATGTTACAACGTAGCTTTTGTTAGTAGTAGTTGAAAATATATCAGAATATGGCAGACTTGGAAAGTGGTCTGTAATGCTGGAGACATTTTCCACACTGTAGGACTTCAGTAAAGAATACCTGTTGAAAAGAGATGTATCCAAGACAGAAATATACAAAAACATTTGCCTGTCTTTGTGTAGCACCTTCAGTTTGTCTCTCATCTCATTGTCGCCACTATTGTAGATTGTTAAATTTTGCTCTAGAAACTGGCCCATAACCACACTGTTTATTTGCAGCTTTCGCAATCCCAAAATGGCCAGGTATTCTCTTGGTAGAGGAGTGGAGCCACAGAGTGAAAGCTTCAGGTAGTGCACCACTGTAAAGTTCAACAGCATTCCAAGCACGTTCGTATCTGTGAACCAAATTGTTAGGTCACTGTGGTAGCTGGCTCTGTCTATTGTATAAGGCAAGATGGTTTTGCAACTGCACATGAGGTTTGCCAAGTTGTAGTCACAGTCATGGATATCAGCAGAACAGCTGCAGTTGCGAATTGTATTTTCCTTGGTGCAAATCAGAGTGTTGTTCTTCTGACCTCTCACAAAACTGTTAAGACAGAAACCAAGAAAGCCAACCAAAAGGAAATGGTGCTTATGGCAGGATACTGACATCACGTTTCCAGGCATCTTGTCGTCTGTTACTCAGTGATTCTTATCATTTGCCATTACCTATGAGAATAAGAGTAGCTTTATTATACTAGGGTTCACTTAATTGTTAATACTTTCTCCCACTCACTGTCTGACTTGTCTATTCAGGGCTACGTTGTCACTTTACAATCTACCCTAAGTTAGGGGACAAGATGCGTGAGGTAATATCTTTTATTGGACCAATTTCTGTTGGTCAGAGAGACAAGCTTTCAAGCCACACAGAGCACTTCATCAGGTTAGGGGAGACACATAGCTGCACTGATCCCAGTGCAGGTCAGAGAACAAACTGTGACTCAATTGGATTTCTTGCCAGCCGTTCCCTTCCATTGGGGGAGGAATAAATTGTTTTACTCACTTTTATAGAACAGCTTATTTCCCCCTGTGCACTTTGCCAGCTACTCTGGCTGACAAGGGTGAGGGCAAAGATAGGGCTCCTCCTACTCCTTGCTCCTATCTGTCTCCTCCCAGTACACTTGCTTGCTGCGAGGAATATTGAGTGAGTACTAATAACCCCTGCACCACTAGCTGCAGTGGAGGGCAATCTGAGCAGGGAAGTAAAAGATGGGGTCTTACTGCCTCTTACTCCCCTGCATGGCTGAGTAAGGGCTGTGACAATCTAGCCTTTAGAATGTGAACTCTTTGGGAGCAGGGACTGTCTATTACTAGGTGTTTGTGCAGTGCCTAGCACAATAACGTCCCTACAGTCATTGGAGCCTCTAGGCATGCCTGTAATAGAAATAATAAAGGCATGGAGGTTTATAAAGAACAAATTGTATCTCAGTCATTTAATCTTTACTGTTTTATAGCTCTCAGAGCTATGGTTGAGTACCAAACCATAATGAACATTCTTCTCTCAGGCCATAGCCTACACGTATGGTGGCATGTAGACTATAGACACTGCATGCCCCCCAGCATGGGTATAAACAGCAGTGAGGCCCTGCTTAAATGAGTAAAGACATGACAGAACCTTAGGGTACATACCCTACACAGCTCTCTACCCCCCCCCCCATAGTGTCTCTCCCATCTACACTGCTAAAAATAGCAGTGTAGTGTCCCGACCCTCCAGCAGCAGGAAAAGGCTCTGTTGGGGGGGAGGCAGCAGGGAAATGCCGCAGCAGCTCCTGCTGCTGGAGCTGTTCCTCACTGTAGTGAAAGACTCGGGCAGTGGGGCAAGACTCCAGCAGGGGAAGGCAGGGGAATAATACACTGCTAAGAATAGCAGTGTAGATCAGGGAGGCACTGATTGGGCAAGTTAGAGAGCCGTGGTGAGTACATCCCTAAGGTTCTGGTGTGTCTTTACTCTACTCACCTAAGCAGTGCCTCACTGTCTACACTGCTATTTATACTCATGCTGGGAGGGGAATGGAGTGTCTGTACTGTGTAGACATCAGATACAGACAGCATCTTACAATCAGGCTGTTGTGATTTGCCCTCATCCTGAAAAAAAACCCACTTTTTCTTCTGAGTAAAACTAGAACAAGCCATGAAGATTTTATGAAGTAAAACACAAAACATATACATTCACTTCATATGCATAATTATTCCTCAGACATAAAAAGGCATTCATTGTCCAAAATGAAGAGCTTGTAATTTTGTAAGTAAAACACAAGAACACAATAATCGACTACTAACTGGCTAGGCCCACCAGTCTTTTGTATTTGTTCTTAGATACTTTTACCAGCTTATTTGCTTTTTCAGAATCTAACCTGTTGCACAATTTAGATTTAAACAGTCCAAATATGCTAAAAACACACTTGGTTGATACTGGGCTGCTTAAACAAGGGCGTGGGTCTTTTAAAATTTGAAATAAATCTGAATTCAACTAACTTTACTTTCTATAATTTTTCACCATTATGATGCAACCAAGTATGCAACAACTCCTTTCCTGAACATAAATTTTAAGCAGAAGATGAATGGAGATTGTTTGTGAATGAACCTGATGCTGAAGAGTTGCTAAAGAGCCTGACACCGGGACTTAAATGATCATCACATCTATATTTTTATGATGACAACGGCATGGAAAATGTCTCACTTTCAGGATCATTAAGTTAATGGTCTGCTCTTCCATTTCAACAGACAGAGTTTCAGTGACTCCTTTAATCTTGAAAATCTGAAAAACTGATTTTCTGCACCTTTTGAGATGGATATGACTCCTGTCTTACTACTTATCAAGGTTTACATTTTATTTCAAAATAATTATCTTTTTTCATTACTTCAGAGCACACTATAACTTATTTCCTACACTCCCTTCAACTTTAGACATGTAGAGTATGATAAGTTTATACAATGATGTTTGATAATCACTAAACACTAATCATATGTTCGCAGCATTGATCTGCAGCTTTCACAGTTATTACTGGTAAAACCACATAGTGAATTCAACACTGAAGACTCAAGACAGAAAACTAAGGTGAGCTAGTCAGTTTGATTTAGAATCCCATTTTATATGGTTCACTGGCCTTCCAAAAGCATTGTTGTAAACCGACAATTCACAGCTCCATCTTCTCCCCTCTCTTCTGTGTCCAAAGACAGCTGATTCCACTTCTTATTTATGACCCTCTATGCAGTCGTCATTGACTTCACCCATTCTCTTTCTCCTCCTAGCTTCTAGACCAGGGGTCGGCAACCTCTGGCACGCGGCTCGCCAGGGTAAGGACCCTGGCGGGCTGGGCCAGTTTGTTTACCTGCCGTGTCGGCAGGTTTGGCCAATCGCGGTTCCCACTGGCCGCGGTTTGCCGTCCCAGGCCAAAGGGGGCGGTGAGAAGCCGCAGCCAGCACATCCTTCAGACCGCGCCGCTTCCTGCAGCCCCCATTGGCCTGGGACGGCGAACCGCGGGTAGTGGGAGCCGCGATCGGCCGACGCAGCAGGTAAACAAACTGGCCCGGCCAGCCAGGGTGCTTACCCTGGCGAGCCACGTGCCACAGGTTGCCGACCCCTGTTCTAGACAGTTCTATAATTTTATTACTGTCTTGTAATAGGCATAATAACAAAAATCTTTATTTTCTTATCACTTTTCTGGCCAGATTCAATGGATATGTTCTGCCTCCTTTCATAGAATATCAGGGTTGGAAGGGACCTCAGGAGGTCATCTAGTCTAACCCCCTGCTCAAAGCAGGACCAATCCCCAGGCAAATTTTTACCCCAGTTCCCTAAATGGCCCCTTCAAGGATTGAACTCACAACCCTGGGTTTAGCAGGCCAATGCTCAAACCACTGAGCTATCCCTCCCCCTTTATACTACTTCATCAAAGCAAAGTAGCAAAGCAGTTTAACAACCTTCATGTGTGCTACAGACAATGTAGTAGATTCTTCATCCTGCCCAAGCTCCACTTGGGTGCACTGGATGGAGGAGCCACAAGAGCTAATAGGGACACCCTGATCTTCAGCCATCCAGCCCCATGTTTTTAGAGTCCCTACCAAGGGAGTATAAATAATAAATACCATGGGCGGCGTGTGACTCCTGCATTTGGGGAGGCTGGGTGTGAGCACCGGAAGCTCCCTAGAAGTGGGGGAGGCCACTGGTGCCTGGACTATGGCCCCGCCCCCTGCTCCACCCTGAGGCCCGCCCCAGCTCGGCCTCCTCCCCCAAGGCCCCACCCACACTCCACCCCAGGCCTCCTCCTGGTTGGTCCTCTCCCCTCTCCACCCCCTCCCCTGAGGCTCCCCTATCTGCCGCTCCCTCCTTTCTGCCCTCGAGGCCCCCCCGCCCGCTTCTTGTGCCTCTTCATCTCCTCCCCTGAGGCTGCCGCCGCTTTGACCCCTCCCCCGAACTCCTCCTACCCACTGCTCGCACCTCTCCGCCCCCTCCCCCAAGATCTCCCCCGCCCACCATTCCTTGGAGGGGGTGGAGAGGTGTGAGTGGGATTGGAGTTCTAAGGGGGAAGAGGCAGAACAAGGGCGGGACCTTGGGGGGGAAGAGGGAGTTGGGGCGGGAAGAGGAGAAGTGTGGGCAGGGCCATGGGGGAAGAGGACAAGCGGGAGCAGGGCCTTGGAGTGGAGCACGGGCGGGGCTATGGCCCAGATGTCCTTTTGGTGGCAGCACTCTGAAGGCGGTGGGCCAGTAGCAGCGCCTTTAGAGAGAGGTGCGCTGCATCTTGTTGGGGGAGGCTTAGCCTCCCTGGTCTCTTATACCTACCGCACATGATAAATATTACAGTACTACTAATGGTAAATACTACTACTACTAATACATAATATCCTGCCTCAAGATAAGAGATAAGATACATGGGTGAGAATATTTTTTTTCTGATTCATTTGAAATCTTAGGACCAATTAGGACAAAATTCTGTCCAGGGGTGTGGTTCCCACTGAAGCCAGCCAGAATCTTCTTTGAATCCGAGGGAAGAATTTAGCCCTTAGAATGTTTAAATGTTCTCTCATCTCTAGAGCACATGTCCAGTGCATCAACCAGCCCAGTAAAATAAAAGCTGATTGTTTAAAAAAATGGGGTCTGCAAGAAATGAATAGTAATAATTATGAATATTCATAGGGTACCAATCCAATCCTGATTTAATTAAACAATGGAGCCTTTTAATATACAAAAGTTTGTGTAGCACCCTATTAACAGAATATTTTAAAATGCATTTAGTAGCTTGTTAGACTACCCTTGTATTAGTAATCTGTGGCTGATCCTCAGAGGACAGCTCCCTGCTAATGGGTTTTGGTCACATAGTAGAAGTCTATGCTTTGGATCTAGATATTCTGGATTCAGTCCCTCCTGAAAACCCAACAAAGAGCATGTTTAAAATTAGAAACATCATTGCATCTTGATAGAATGGCTTCATTGTCCTCTCAATTACATTCCAAATTTATAGTTTACAAAAGAGGTACATTTCAGTCCACTTATTTCTTTGATGTTTGGTCACACACCAGTATATTTACAGAAATTATGGTGGCTGGCAAATGCCCCAGAATTTACACATCCATGAAAAGAGGCAGATGAGTGTTCTAGAGCAATCTTTAAGGAGCTCACTCCAAGGTAATTTAATTTCATACTCACCTCCCATGTCTAGCAACTATTTTAAAAGTTAGGAAAACATGTTTCTTTTGAATTCAGGATACAGACAACTTCTTGTTGAAATTAAATATTTAATCCAAATTCCACAGCATTATCTCTCACAACATACCAGAAATGCCACCTGAACATTTAGTTAATGTTAAACTTCAAAGGTCAAGTACAACCATGCTGTAACTCCCCTGATATTATGCAGTTACACAAGCAATGAAGTTGGCCCCAAACATCTAAGAATCCAATCACGCATTACAATGAGAATTCTACTACCATACCTTCACATTTTGTTTATTTTTCCTTGGCTAAGCTATGATAAAATAAATCAGAATATTTACAGTATCACTATTGTGTCATAAATGCAGTAATATTCCTCTCACACATTGCCAAGAATGATCTGGATTTATCTGTTTTAAAGATAGTATTTTGCAAGCAAAATTCATAGATAAGGTTAGCAGCAATATGAATTTATATAAAAGAGATTTTAATTAAAGTGCTATATGAGCCTGGAACCCAGCATTTCTCCTGAATTGCAAACTCCAACCAAAATCAATAGGAGTTTAGTGATTTTTCCAAGTAAGTACTGAAAGCTTATAGGCATGACAAAAAACAAAAGCAAAACAATTTTTTTGATAAATTCTAATCAGATCTAACTTATTAAGTTATTCCTCTGCTAATTTTTTGCACTCACCTGAGCTTTGCTTTCCTTTGTTACTCTCATGCAGCCAACACAGGAAAATTCTGTTTCACAGTTAGTTTAGTCACAAGCTGTGTTCTATATCTTGGTATTGCATAAAGCATTATCTCCAAAACTACTTGCTATCCTCTTTTGTTCCCTGCAGCTCAGAAACAATCATAGCAATAAGTACTGCATGCTAAGTTTTGGTGTGTTTTTGGCAAGCAATATGCAGGCAGTGAAATATCTGTTGTAGGTTACAGAGTGTCCACAAAATATTAAAATCACCTGCACTGCACTGCTATTTGAGCCTCCAATTATCTACAAAGAAATGTGCATTGCATAACTCCTATTCAAACTACTCTGCTGTCTGCACACTTTGGGAGGTTTGAGAAAGATTTGTTGATTTTTTTTTTTACAAGCTTTTCTGCAAAAGAAAGAAAGAGAAAGAAAGAAGGAAATTAGAAAACAGTGATAACACCTGAACACAGCAACTTAATTGCTCCTACCCTTAGATGCATCTTTTGAATCATTATTAGTGCTGTGGAGGGGCTGTTAGAAGGGTAAGGGTCACAACTCAACAAGCAGGAGACACCCCCTGGGAAAGTCTGGAGGAGCTGGAAACCTGGAATATGATCATAAGGCATCAGGGAGGCTCAGAAGGCACTGGGAGTCTGTAGGGAAGAAAAAGTGGAGGGGGGTTGCAAAGGGGAAGGTAGTAGAGTTCTAAAAGACTGGCAAGGGAGAAGTGAAGTGAGGAAAAAGAGCCTAAGAGAGAAAGGGATACAGGACACAAGGGGTCTGAAGAGTATGCATGGATGGGAATCTTTTGAGTTCAACTAGGTAGACAAACATTTTCCTGCTTAGCCAAACCAAATCTCTGAACTATTTTGTTTAGTCATCACAAGTGTGGCTATGTAGAGCTGGCCAACAATTTCAGGGTTGTGTTTTTGTTTTGACAAGATTCTTCATTGAAATTTCAAATTTAAATTAAAAAAAGGGGGGAAACATTTTAACAAATTTTTTGTGATCTCCCACAACTCATGGTGGGTTATACCTTCCTGAAACATAAGTCTTACTGCTTTGCAGGGAGACTCTCTTAGTTTGGATTAATTTTTAAAGAGTTTTTAAAAGCCACGAGGTGCTGGAAAGGGCTCACAGCGACACTCAGAAGCTCCTTATTAAAATTCCACCACTAAACTAAAGGTAAGATTTGGGTGATTTCCTGCCCTCTAATGGGACTGGATTCTCCATTGTGTCCAAGGTTACATCATGGCACAAAGTGGCTTTAGGACTAGAGAATCTGGGCTGTGGAATCCACCCCTGCTCCTCTCATACTCTCACTCTCTGGATGTTGCTTAATTACCTTAATAGAGACAATTTATCCCTGGGGCTCTTTAAAATACTTCTAGAGAGTATCAGCGAGGTAGCCGTGTTAGTCTGGATCTGTAAAAAGCAACAAAGAATCCTGTGGCACCTTATAGACTAACAGATGTATTGGAGCATAAGCTTTCGTGGGTGAATACCTGCATGCGTCTGACGAAGTGGGTATTCACCCACGAAAGCTTATGCTCCAATACATCTGTTAGTCTTTAAGGTGCCACAGGACTCTGCTTTTTCTAGAGAGTAGTCTATGGAATTCAGAAGATTGCATTAAATGTCAGGTACTTTAATAAAATTTCCCAGAGAAGGAACTTGAGTCCCCCCCCGAAAGGCCTGTTGTACACAACACCCCATTTCAAATCACACTTCGTTGAACACTCCGCTGTACTGTCAATATACCCCCTATATTTTCAGAAACAAAGTGTAAACATTTCCAGTGAAATGTGTTTCATATACATTTGTTGCCCTCCTTCCTTGGCTATGGTTAAGAGACAGTGTTTTGGACATAAAAAAATGAATAGACTGTCCAGTCAGTCCCCCATTCCTCTTTGTAGCCCAGGCACATTTGGAAGAAGGGGTTTATCACAGGCTAACAGGGACATTTTCTTGTGGGAACTCCTCATTAAAATATTAATGATACGTGGCTATTTAAAAGTCTCTGCCACTGTACAATTTGTTTCCATTAGACATGATATTTCCTTCAGAGAATCAGCAACTGCCATAAAAGTGAGAAATTGTGAGCATTCCACATGCAGTTTTTTTTCAGCTTTTCAATTTGTACTTTGAAAGACTGTAGAGCTCAAAGAACCATTATTTCTTGAATTTCAAATTGGTGCTTGGCAAGTGGACTGAACACTATCCTTCCACGACAAGTCAGTAAACAGAAATTGTCCACCCTCACATACTCATTCTGGAGCTAAGTATGACCACATTATCTGAGGAAGGTGAGTGTATTCCTGAGCTTAGAAAGCATGGTATGGATTTTGTTTTTAAATAACTGTTCAATCCAGTAGTTTCAGACAGTAAAACTTGTCCAAACTCATGCACTATATTTAGTCTTTAAAATTGTTTGGAATGTGAAAATCAGTACATTTTCATATCAGATATGTAGAATTAGTTCAATCATTTATTTTAATTAACCATTTGCCCGATAAATACTTTCTGATCGGAACATGTAGAGGTTCTGTACTCCAAGTGCAGGGGCAGTTTAAACAAGTGTTTATAGGATTCTTTTGCTTCCAGTGAGAATCTGTTTTAGTTTTAGGATTGGAAAATTCTAAGTTGTGTCAGGATGCAGGATGGCCTTCTGCAGAATCAGACTTTATCCCACCCAGCAAAGAAATGGACTGTCCAAAAGGTGAACCAGCAGCTATGTCATTTCAGAAAGAAAAAAAGAAAGAAAGGTCTTGGTGAAGGGATGGGCTGAATGTGTGAGCAAACCCTTCACCCAATTGCACTGACAGTGTCTCTAAACTGTTCTAGTTTAATTAGTTAACTTTTCTACAGTGCTCTGAAAATCTAATGCTCTATGTAAGTAAGGCTATGTCTACACATCCGCCTATGTCGGCAAAACTTATGTCCCTCAGGTGTGTGAATATTCCACCCCCGAGCAACATAACTTACACTGATATAAGCACTCATGTGCACAGTGCTATGTTGGTGGGAGAGCTTCTCCTGCTGATATAACTTATGCTGCTTGCAGGGGTGTTTTTTTTATGCCTATGGGAGACCAGCATACAGCATCTTCACCACAGCGCTGTACATGTAGACATGGCCTAAGACTATAATGTCCTCTTTTCAGTTACAAGTCAGACTATTGCCAGCTCCACCCCCCAATGTATAAATAATATAGACTGAGGTCTGCTTTCTCCCATCCTTCCCCATGGAATCTTTTTTTAAATGGTGCCTTGTGGAAATAAATTCAGTGGACAGAACAAAAGGAGAGGAACAGAAGACAGCTATAAACAGCTTCTGAGTTATGCCACTCAGAACTACCATTGCAATGGGAAATTAATCAAGTTTACAAGTTTCTGAAATGAGCCAAGGCCTGAAATAATAATTAGGTTCCACCATCAGGAAGTGCTCTTCTTATCACTGCTCTTTCATGATATTATTACCCCTTTCCTTTTAGCATTCATCCAACCATCCTATCCAGCAATAGAATCCACCATCCCTACAAAATAAAATCACTTCCCTCTCCCAGTTTCCCGTGACTAGTTGGGCTGCCTTTACTGTTCTCCAGAGCTCTGGAGCCCATTTACTTACAGCTACCTCCGTGCTTACCAGTCACAGAACTGATAAACCACAGAAGCAGTGATGGACAACCTACGGCCCGTCAGGGTAATCCGCTGGCGAGCCGCCAGACAGTTTGTTTACATTTGTATGGCCGCCTGCAGTTCCCAGTGGCTGCGTTTTGCCATTCCCGGCCAATTGGAGCTGCGGGAAGCGGCACGGGCCTCAGGGATGTGCTGACCGCCACTTCCTGCAGCTCTCATTGGCCAGGAATGGCGAACCATGGCCACTGGGAGCTGTGGGCGGCCATGCAAATGTAAACGAACTGGCGGCCCGCCAGCAGATTACCCTGATGGGCCGTGTGCAGCCCACGGGCTGCAGGTTGCCCATCACTGCACAGAAGACATCAAGCTGTAATTTAAACACCTCTCACCTTCTAGTGAGTGAAAAGGAATCATCAGATGGAAACCAAAAGAGGTTCAGGAGCTCTGGGGAAATTAGTAGTGCAACAGTCTGGCATGTAGCAGGAAAAAGAAAATTTGCTTATTTAAAGTTTGCTCTGAGATGCCAAACTCAAATGTGGGGAGAGGATATGGAGACCCTGCAAATGACACCTATGTCAACCTGTATACTTATTTCAAGAGTTCAGTAAGACTTGGGGCAATGAGAACTCTGTGAAGACATTACAACACAGCTTGTCTATTACAGTCTGTAAAATGCTAGTGCTAAGGCGGTATTTAGTTATCTTTCTCAAAAGTTATCCTAAATTCATACATCTTTGCTATTTTTGACACTGTCAGTCACCTTTGCTATCTTATTCTCACTGGGATTTTGAGATACTGTCCTCTCCTGGTTCTCCTCCTATTTCTCTGATGGCTCTTTCAGCATCTCTTTCAGTAGGTTCTCCTTCTCCCCCTCCCACTGCCTGTAGGGATATCCGGGGCTCTTCTCAATTCTCACCGTCTCTGGGCAATTTCATCAGATTGCACTATCATCTCTAGGATAATGACTTGCAAATCTCTTTCTTCCCCAGCCTATCTCCTTCCATTCAATCCCACATTTTAGCCTCTCCCCGATGCGATGTCTTGTCATCAGCTGAAGCGTAACACGACCAAAATCAAACTCCTTATGTTTCCTCCCAAACCTTCCCTGCTGTGCCCCTTTTCTATCACTGCTGACAGCACCACCATCTTTCCCATCACTCAAACCTGCGATGTGGGGTACTTTTGACTCCTCCCTTTCCCAGTCATATACATCAGGCCATATCCAAATCCTGCTATTTCTACCTCCTCAACATCCATCCTTTTTTTTCACCCCCAGATCTTCTTTTCACAGCCAAATCTTTCATTCGGGCCCTCATTATAGTCCACTTTGATTACTGCAATATCGTCTTATTTAGCCTCCTAAGTATCCTCATTGTCCTTTTACCAGAGCACAATACGTCCCTGCTGTTCTGGGCTCCTGCACTAGGAAAGCATGGCAGGCAGAGTAGTCTCTAGAGCTGGTCTAATTTATGCCTCCGGTATTCAGTGGGAATAGAATTGAGATTAATGTCTTCTGACCCTACCTCTGAACTAGAGCTCATCCATAGATAAATACAATCTTAGTTGGGTCAAGCTGCCCA